AAAGGGGTATTTTTACTTTTTTTTTTTCCGAAATTTTTTTTTGGAATATCAATTTTTTGTCAAAAGATTTTTTTATATTAGTGAAACATTATCATTTTACTGAAAGGGGTCTATGTTCGTCGCCTCGTGGCCTATGGATAAGGAAACGGTCCTAAACCGAAATTTCGGGTTCGAATCCCGCCGAGGTGAAATTCTCCGGAAAGGCCCCATTTTGTCATTTATATTACCATGTCACAGTGAAACGTTTTTAATTCAATTTAAATGTGACAATTTGACAAATAATCTGCAATTATTATTGAGAAGTATCCCAAACGGAGCAGGTGGAGGAAGAGACATATTTTACACTTTTCTTTACCGAATTTATTTTTGGAATATCAATTTTTTTGTCAAAAAAAATTTTTATTATTAGTGAAACATTATCATTTTTTACTGAACGGGATCTATGTTCGCCGCCCTCGTGGCCTAATGGATAAGGCATCGGTCTCCTAAACCGGGGATTGCGGGTTCGAATCCCGCCGAGGGTAAGAGTTCTCCGGAAATTCACGCATTTTGTCATTTATATTACCATGTCACAGAGAAACGTTTTTAATTCATGTTAAATGAGACAATTTGACAAATAATCTGCGATTATTATTGAAGTATCCCAAACGGAGCAGGTGGAGGAAGAGACATATTTTACACTTTTCTTTACCGAATTTATTTTTGGAATATCAATTTTTTTGTCAAAAAGACTCTTTTATACTTGAGTGAAACATCATTTTTACTGAACGGGATCTTTATTCGCCGCCCTCGTGGCCTAATGGATAAGGCATCGGTCTCCTAAACCGGGGATTGCGGGTTCGAATCCCGCCGAGGGTAAGAGTTCTCCAGAAAGGCACGCATTTTGTCATTTATATTACCATGTCACAGAGAAACGTTTTTAATTCAATTTAAATGTGACAATTTGACAAATAATCTGCGATTATTATTGAGAAGTATCCCAAACGGAGCAGGTGGAGGAAGAGAAAACAATTTTACACTTTTCTTTACCGAATTTATTTTTGGAATATCAATTTTTGTCAAAAAGGTTTTTTTATACTTGAGTGAAACATTATCATTTTTCACTGAACGGGATCTATGTACGGCGACCTCGTGGCCTAATGGATAAGGAATCGGTCTCCTAAACCGGTAATTGCGGGTTCAAATCCCGCCGAGGGTAAGAGTTCTCTGGAAAGGCACGCATTTTGTCATTTATATTACCATGTCACAGAGAAACAATTTTAATTCATGTTAAATGTGACAATTTGACAAATAATCTGCGATTATTATTGAGAAGTATCCCAAACGGAGCAGGTGGAGTAAGAGAAAAGTTTACACTTTTCTTTACCGAATTTATTTTTAGAATATCAATTTTTTTGTCAAAAAGATTTTTTTATACTTGATTGAAACATTATCATTTTTTACTGAACGGGATCTATATTTGCCGCCCTCGTGGCCTAATGGATAAGGCATCGGTCTCCTAAACCGGGGATTGCGGGTTCGAATCCCGCCGAGGGTAAGAGTTCTCCAGAAAGGCGCATTTTGTCATTAATTTTATTGGAGCCCCAAAAACGCGATATAAAGTTATCAAAAAAATATCCGCTATTATACGAGACGAGGCTTTTAAGAGGTATAATTTCAGCCCATTTGCTGAAATGATCGGTTAATACTAAAATATAGCGTTTACGTCTTATTCTCGATATAGGATACGGGCCTAACAAATCTAACGTCACTATCTCATTTGGATAATTTGATATAATTGGATTTAATCGACCATTAGTAGCGCGTTTTTACAGTTATTAACCTTTGGCACATATGGCATGTAGAGACATATTGATCAATGAATTTCTCATGTACGGGGAAATAACAAACGTCGGGTACATGATACGTTTAAATCTTCCCAAGTGTCTGCTATTGTCCTGTCATGAAATTCTCTCATTATTTCATTCGCCAAAAGATTTTGGAATGTATACCCGCATTTCACCTAACGACGTTGCGTGTTTCGCATAAAATAACAAGCCTTCAATTAGGGGAAGTCGTGGGACCAATTCTCACATATCGTTGCATTAACAGGTTATCTTCCGAGTTTTCTAAATATCGCGGAGTATGACCTAATTCTGGGTCATTTTTGTTCTGTTATTAACTGTTCACGCAGAAGTATTTTAAATCCTGATTATTGCACAATTAACTTTTCTCAATTATACTTTCCATGATTTTCGATAAAACATTAGCCACAATAGCTACCTTCATTTTCCTGACCCATTAACGCGTAAATTCCTTTATCTACTATCATCTTCAACCCAGAGAATCTTGAATTTTCAACGATTTCTGATCAAAATCTAAAATAATCTTTGATCCTTATAAAATCAACACTTAGAATACATGGGTATTCCAAATCCAAATCAACTTGTAAATGACCAAGTTCTTTCAAATTGTCTGATGCGAATATTCAATTCTACAATCCTCCCCATGTTTTGGCATTTCGCACCCTATTGCTGTTATTACCTGGGCTCGCGATTTTTAATTTGCTTATAAAAAATATTTTCTATATACTTCTTCCGATATAAATGATTTATCTGCTCCGGTGTCCCATAGCGCTTTCAAAAATGTGTTATTTAATAAAATAGGAACGTGTGGAAGTTCTGGTGATATACATATCGGAGAAAGTTTAATTGGTATTTCTCTTGCCGATTCTTTTTTTGAAGTTGATCTTTAACTTTTACAATATTTAATCGTCCTTTGCATCCTATCGCCTCGACTGAAATTTTTCCTCGAACCCCTATTTCACAGTCCCCTCTATTAAAATTATCATTTCGCTCATTTCGAAATTGGTAACCCCTGTCGTTGAATCTCGATCTCTATTCTGGAAATCTATTCCTCTCAGACCCTTTATTACACTTTGACGGCTATTCTCATAAAATCATTTCTACCATTATTTGGTCTACGTCCAACCTCAAATTACTCAGTTTCTGCGATTAGCATCAAGAGTGGAAGCATCCTATGCGCGTTTTGACCTCGTCTTTTTCTACATTATCACTATTCTGTGAACCCCTTTTTTAATTTGTAAGAATACCTGTCTTTGAATTTAACAAGACTTCCTAAAAGTTGTACCGTGTTCTGCGGATTGCGCACTTCCACGTAGTCCTGGATCTGTGGTTCGAGTGGAACTAAATGTGATCCACCAATTCGCCTGCGACATCTAGCTCCTAAGTACCTGGATTTTTTAATAAATCGTAAACAAAATCTGTGGGTTCCTGATTTTCTTCCTGCTGTGAAGCGAAAATCGAGCTTCCAATTCTTTTCTTATTTTTTGATTGCGGGAAAAGATTTCGCTAATTCGGCCTTGAGCTGCGCGAAAATCCGTGGCTGTATCTTGCACTAGCACCGATCCAAATATTGAGTACCAATCTTGAGCCCTTCCTGGGATGACTTTTCAAGTAAGCACACCAACAGATTACTTGGGATTTCTACCAAGTAACTGTATTTGGTTATCTATTGTCTCAAAGAACTCCCTAATGTTCTCCGACCTGAAAATACATTTCAGGTAATATACCCCTAAATCCACCTGCATTACCTAACCCAGAATTAATATAGTTCGGGCGCCATTGAGACATAGCCATCTTGCGATAGTTATGTCTAGTGGGATCACTTACGTAAGCTAGAGGTGTGGGGGATTATCTAAAAAGATGAGACATTTTTGTGATTCTTAACACAACTTTTATTAAGAATAGCTTAAATTACTTAATTCTAAAATAACAACTTTTCTTTAAGTGAGAATAACCCACCAATTAAACTGAATGTAAAGTCAGATCAGCACGACTAGATCACTTATCTTAATTATATTTAACTATCTGCCTAACCTAACTTCCTATACAAAATATTACCTTTTTGGTAGGTAATCCTCCTACCTGTAATTGAAGACTCTCCTGTTCAGCTATTTGTAGATAAGAACACTCAGGGACCTTATTAATCTTTCTTATACTTATGTGTGTGTGACGATGAGTATCCTTCTTCCTTGGTTGTAGGTCGTCCCAACGCTTGTTCGAAAGAAGTTCCACACTACAAGATATCTCTAGGCTTGCCGTTCTATCTCACTAAACCTTCTATCCTTTTAAAAGTATATCCCATTTTACATATTCGTCCCTGTTTCTCTTCTTGGTATTGGGTTGGAAAAGTTTTGCACTGCCATTAATCGTGGCCCGTCGAACTTGGAGTTATGTTAGAAGAACGCAAGAGCGTCACAAATTTTTTTGTCAAAAGATTCTTTTTATACTTAGGTGAAACATTATCATTTTACTGAACGGGATCGGTGTATTCGCCGCCTCGTGGCTAATGGATAAACCATCGGTCTCCTAAACCGGGGATTGCGGGTTTTGAATCCCGCCGAGAGTAGAAGTTCTCCAGAAGGCACGCATTTTGTCATTTATATTACCATGTCACAGAGAAACGTTTTTAATTCAATTTAAATGGCGACAATTTTGACAAATAATCTGCGATTATTATTAGAGAGTATCCCAAACGGAGCAGGTGGAGGAAGAGAGACATATTTTACACTTTCTTTACCGAATTTATTTTTGGAATATCAATTTTTTTTGTCAAAATGATTTTTATAATTGAGTGAAACATTATTTTTGCGAACGGGATCTATGTTCGCCGCCCTCGTGGAATAATGGATAAGGCATCGGTCTCCTAAACCGGGGATTGTGGGTTCGAATCCGTCGAGGGGTAAGGTTATAAAATTTACGCATTTTGTCATTTATATTACCATGTCACAGAGAAACGTTTTTTAATTCATGTTAAATGCGACAGCATTTGACAAATAATCTGCGATTATTACGAAGTATCCCAAACGGAGCAGGTGGAGAAGGAGCATATTTTACACTTTTCTTTACCAGAATTTATTTTTTGGAATATGAATTTTTGTCGGAATTCTTTTATATGAGTGAAACATCATTTTTTACTGAACGGGATCTATGTTCGTTACCCTCGTGGCCTAATGGATAAGGCATCGGTCTCCTAAACCGGGGATTGTGGGTTCAGATCCTACCGAGGTGTTAGAGTTCTCCGGAAATTCACGCATTTTGTCATTTATATTACCATGTCACAGAGAGAAACGTTTTAATTCAATTTAAATGTGACAATTTGACAAATAATCTGCGATTATTATTTTAGAAGTATCCCAAACGTAGCAGGTGGAGGAAGAGACTTATTTTACACTTTTCAGCACAATTTATTTTTCCAGATATCAATTTTTTTTATCAAAAAAAGATTTTTATACTTGAGTGAAACATTATCATTTTCATGAACGGGATCTATGTTCGTCGCCCTCGTGGCCTATTATTGGATAAGTCGGTCTCTAAGCCGTTAATTGCGGGTTCGAATCCCGCCGAAGGGGTAAGTTCTCTCGGAAAGGCACGCATTTTGTCATTTATATTACCATGTCACATAGAAACGTTTTTTAATTCAATTTTAAATGTGACAATTTGACAAATAATCTGCAGGGTATTATTGAAAGTATCCCAAACGGAGCAGGTGGAGGAAGAGACATATTTACTTTTCTTTGAATTCATTTTGGAATATCAATTTTTTGTCAAAAGATTTTTATAATTGAGTGAAACATTATCATTTTACTGGAGCAGGATCTATGTTCGCCGCCCTCGTGGCCTAATGGATAAGGCATCGGTCTCTAAACCGGGGATTGTGGGTTCCGAGATCCCGCCGAGGGTAGAGTTCTCCGGAAATTCGCATTTTGTCATTTATATTACCATATCACAGAGCGTTTTGGTGTATTTAAATGCGACAATTTGACAAATAATCTGCGATTATTGTTGAGAGTATCCCAAACGGAGCAGGTGGAGGAAGGGGCATATTTTACTTTTCTTTTACCGAATTTATTTTTGGAATATGAATTTTTTGTCAAAAGATTCTTTATACTTGAGTGAAACATCATTTTTACTGAACAGGATATTTATTCGCCAACCTCGTGGCCTAATGCATAAAGGCCTCGGTCTCCTAAACCAAAGTTTGGGTTCGAATCCGCTGAGGGTAGGATTCTCCAGAAAGGCACGCATTTTGTCATTTATATTACCATGTCACAGAGAAACGATTTTTAATTCAATTTAAATGCATGACAATTTTGACAAATAATCTGCGGTGTGTTGAGAAGTATCCCAAACGGAGCAGGTGGAGAGGAATAGACTTATGCAAATTTTAATCTTTTCTTTTGCTTAATTTATTTTTGGAATATCAATTTTTTTGTCAAAAAGATTCTTTTATACTTGAGTGAAACATCATCATTTTTTACTGAACGGGATCTGTGTATTCATACGCCCTCGGCCCTAATGGACCGAGCCATCGGTCTCTAAACCGGGGATTGCGGGTTTTGAATCCCGCCGAGGGTAAGGGATTCTCAGAAAGGCACGCATTTGTCATTTATATTACCCTGTCACAGAGAAACGTTTTTAATTCATGTTAAATGTGACAATTTGACAATAATCTGCGATTATTATTGAGAAGTATCCCAAACGGAGCGGGTGGAGGAAGAGACATATTTTACACTTTTCTTTACCGAATTTATTTTTGGAATATCAATTTTTTGTCAAAAAGATTTTTATACTTGAGTGAAACATTATCATTTTTTACTGAACGGGATCTATGTTCGCCGCCCTCGTGGCCTAATGGATAAGGCATCGGTCTCTCGTAAACCGCCGGGGATTGTGGGTTCGAATCCATGAGGGTAAGAGTTCTCCGGGAAATTTACGCATTTGTCATTTTATATTACCATGTGTCACAGAGAAACGTTTTAATTCAATTTAAATGTGACAATTTTGACAAATAATCTGCGATTATTGTGAGAAGCGCCCCAAAGGGAGCAGGTGGAGGAAGAGACAATTTTACGCACTTTTCTTTACCGAATTTATTTTTTGGAATATCAATTTTTTTGTCAAAAGATTTTTTTATACTTAGGTGAAAACATTATCATTTTTTCACTGGAGCAGGATCTATGTACGGCGACCTCGTGGCCTAATGGATAAGAATCGGTCTCTAAACCGGTAATTGCGGGTTCAAATCCGCCGAGGAGTAGAAGTTCTCTGGAAAGAGCGCATTTTGTCATTTTATATTACCATGTCACAGAGAAACAATTTTGAATTCATGGTAAAATGTGACAATTTGACAAATAATCTGCGATTATTTATTGAGAAGTATCCCAAACGGGCAGGTGGAGTAAGAAAAGTTTGCGCTTTCTTTACCGAATTAAGTTTTAGAATACCAATTTTTTTGTCAAAAGATTTTTATACTTGATTGAAACATTATCTTTTTTTACGAACGGGATCTATTTGCCGCCCTCGGGCCTAATGGATAAGGCACGTCTCCAAAACCCGGGGATTGGGGTTCGAACCCCCCGGAGGGTAAGAGTTTCCGAAAACGCTTTTTGTCATTAATTTTATTGGGGTCCAAAACCGAAAATTTTTTAAACAAAAAATACCCGCATTATACGAGAGAGGGCTTTTAATTTTTTCGATTTTGAAAATATCTTTTTAAAATAACTTTACTCTTTTTCGATATGGGGACGGGCCAAAAAAACGTCCTACCGGAAAATTTTGTTAATTGGATAACCCTTTGGAAGCGTTTTTATTTTTTAAACTTGGCAATTTGGGCATGAAGACAATTGACAATAATTTTCTTTAAAGGGAAAAAACAAACGCCCGTTTTTAGAACTTTTAAATTAAGTGTCCTTTTTTTGTCAAAATTTTTTATTATTTCTTTTTTAAAGATTTTAATTTCCCCTCCCAAGGTTGCGGTTTCCTTAAACAACCCTTCAATGAGGGAAGTCGGGCCACCATTTTGCATTAAATTATCCCGGTTTTTAAATATCTATAGAAGACCTTTTTGGGTCATTTTGTTCTATTATTAACTTTTCACCGAAAAGTACTAAATCCCTATTATTGAAAATTAATTTTTTTCCAATTATATTTAAATTTTTCGATAAAACATTAGCCACAATATTTATCTTCATTTCTGACCCATTAACGCGAAAATTTCCCTTTTTATCTACCTTATCATCTTCAACCAGAGAATCTTGAATTTTAAACGATTTCATAAAATCTAAAATAATTTTTGATCCAATTTAAAAAATCAACACATAGAATACATGGGTATTCCAAATCCGTCAACAAGAAATGACCAAGTTTTTTCAAATTGTCGATGCGAATATTAAATTTCTCAACCCCATGTTTTGGCATTTCGCCCCCTGTGCGATTACCTCCCCCGCGATTTTTTAAATTTTCTTATAAAAAAATTTTCTATATACTTTTTCCGATATAAATGATTTATCTGCTCCGGTGTCCCATAGCGCTTTTAAAAAAGTGTTATTTAATAAAATAGGAACGTGAGGAATTCTGGGGGATATACATATCGGAGAAAGTTTAATTTGGGATTTCTCTTTCCGATTCTTTTGAAGTTTTTTTAACTTTACAATATTTAATCGTCCCCCTTTCATCCATCGCCTCGACGAAATTTTCCTCGAACCCCCATTTCCCCGGTCCCCCCATTAAAATTATCGTTTCGCTTATTTCGAAATTGGAAACCCCCCCCGTTTAATCTCATCTGTATTCTGAAAACTATTCCTCTGAACCCTTTTTTTACTTTGACGGCTATTCTCATAAAAAACATTTCTACCATTATTTGGTTACGTCCAACCCCCAGAATTACCCAGTTTCTGCGATTACTAAAAAAGGCATCCCATGCGCGTTTTGACCTCTCTTCTACATTATCACTATTCTGTGAACCCCTTTTTTAAATTTTTTAGAATACCCCTTTTTCGAATTTAGCTAAGACTTCCAAAAATTGTACCGTGTTCTGCGGATTGGGACTTCCACGTAGTCCTGGGGTCTGTGGTTCGAGTGGCCAAAATGTGATCCACCAACCGCCTGCAATCCCCTTTGCTCTAAATTTTTCGATTTTAATAAATCAAACAAAATCTGTGGGTTCCTGATTTTTTCCCCCCGTAAACGAAAAAACGAGCTTAATTCTTTCTTATTTTTTATTGCGGGAAAAACTTTCGCTAATTCAGCCTTTAGCTGCGCGAAATCCGGGGTGATCTTTCACTAGCACCGATCCAAAATTTAGTACCAATCTTGAGCCCTTCCCCGAGATGACTTTTTTAAATAAGCCAAACAGAAGGGATTTCAAGTAACTGTATTTGGTTATCTATTGTCTCAAAGAACTCCTAACGTTCTCCCACCCTGAAAAAAACATTTCAGGTAATATACTAAATCCACCTGCATTACCTAACCCAGAATTAATATAGTTCGGGCGCCATTGAGACATAGCCATCCTGCGATAGTTATGTCTAGTGGGATCGCGTAAGCTAGAGGTGTGGGATTATCTAAAAGATGAGACATTTTGTGATTCTTAACACAACTTTTATTAAGAATAACTTAAATTACTTAATTCTAAATAACAACTTTCTTTAAGTGAGAATAACCCACCAATTAAACTGAATATGCAAGTCAGATCGCACGACTAGATCACTTATCTTAATTATATTTAACTATCTGCCTAACAACTTCCTATACAAAATATTACCTTTTATTGAGTAATCCTCCTACCTTAATTGAAGACTCTCCTGTTCAGCTATTTGTAGAATAAGAACACTCAGACCTTATTAATCTTTCTTATACTTAATATTATTAATGACGATGAGCATATCCTTCTTCCTTGGTTGTAGGTCGTCTAACGCTTGTTCCGAAAAGTTCCACACTAAGATATCTCTAGGCTTGCCGTTCTATATCACTAAACCTTCTATCCTTTTAAAGTATATCCCATTTGCATATTCGTCCTGTTTCTCTTCTTGGTATTGGGTTGGAAAAGTTTTGCCATTAATCGTGGCCGTCAAAGAACTTAGGAGTTATGTTAGAAGAAGAACGCGAGAGACGTCACAAATTTTTGTCAAAAAGATTCTTTTATACTTGAGTGAAACATTATCATTTTTTACTGAACGGGATCTGTGTATTCGCCGCCCTCGTGGCCTAATGGATAAGCCATCGGTCTCCTAAACCGGGGATTGCGGGTTTGAATCCCGCCGAGGGTAAGAGTTCTCCAGAAAGGCACGCATTTTGTCATTTATATTACCATGTCACAGAGAAACGTTTTTAATTCAATTTAAATGTGACAATTTGACAAATAATCTGCAATTATTATTGAGAAGTATCCCAAACGGAGCAGGTGGAGGAAGAGAAAAGTTTACACATTTCTTTACCGAATTTATTTTTAGAATATCAATTTTTTTGTCAAAAAGATTTTTTTATACTTGATTGAAACATTATCATTTTTTACTGAACGGGATCTATATTTGCCGCCCTCGTGGCCTAATGGATAAGGCATCGGTCTCCTAAACCGGGGATTGCGGGTTCGAATCCCGCCGAGGGTAAGAGTTCTCCAGAAAGGCACGCATTTTGTCATTTATATTACCATGTCACAGACAAACGTTTTTAATTCAATTTAAATGTGACAATTTGACAAATAATCTGCGATTATTATTGAGAAGTATCCCAAACGAAGCAGGTGGAGGAAGAGACATATTTTACACTTTTCTTTTACCGAATTTATTTTTGGAATATCAATTTTTTTGTCAAAAAGATTCTTTTATACTTGAGTGAAACATCATTTTTTACTGAACGGGATCTTTATTCGCCAACCTCGTGGCCTAATGCATAAGGCATCGGTCTCCTAAACCGGGGATTGCGGGTTCGAATCCCGCCGAGGTTAAGAGTTCTCCAGAAAGGCACGCATTTTGTCTTTAATTTTATTGGAGCTCCAAAACGCGATATAAAGTTATCAAAAAAAATATCCGCTATTATACGAGACGAGGGCTTTTTAAGAGGTATAATTTCAGCCCATTTGCTGAAATGATCGGTTATTACTAAAATATAGCGTTTACGTCTTATTCTCGATATAGGATACGGGCCTAACAAATCTAACGTCACTATCTCATTTGGATAATTTGATATAATTGGATTTAATCGACCAGCTGGTAACGCGTTTTTACAGTTATTAACTTGGCACATATGGCATGTAGACACATATTGATCAATGAATTTTCTCATGTGGGAAATAACAAATGTCCCGAATTTTATGATACGTTTTAAATCTTCCCAAGTGTCCTGCTATTGTCCTGTCATGAAATTCTCTCATTATTTAATTCCTTAAAGATTTTGGAATGTATACCCGCATTTCACCTAACGACGTTGCGTGTTTCGCATAAAATAACAAGCCTTCAATTAGAGGGAAGTCGTGGGACCAATTTTCACATATCGTTGCATTAACCGATTTATCTTCCGAGTTTTCTAAATATCTATAGATATGACCTAATTCTGGGTCATTTTTTTGTTCTGTTATTAACTGTTCACGCGAAGTAAGTACTAAATCCCTGATTATTGCACAATTAACTTTTTCTCCAATTATACTTTCCACATGATTTTTCGATAAAACATTAGCCACAATATTTACCTTCATTTCTGACCCATTAACGCGTAAATTCCCTTTATCTACCTTATCATCTTCAACCAGAGAATCTTGAATTTTCAACGATTTCTGATCAAAATCTAAAATAATCTTTGATCCACTTATAAAATCAACACTTAGAATACATGGGTATTCCAAATCCGTCAACACATGAAATGACCAAGTTCTTTCAAATTGTCTGATGCGAATATTCAATTCTACAATCCCCATGTTTTGGCATTTCGCACCCTGTGCTGTTATTACCTGGGCTCGCGATTTTTTAATTTGCTTATAAAAAAAATATTTTCTATATACTTCTTCCGATATAAATGATTTATCTGCTCCGGTGTCCCATAGCGCTTTCAAAAATGTGTTATTTAATAAAATAGGAACGTGGGAAGTTCTACGAGGTGATATACATATCGGAGAAAGTTTAATTAGTATTTCTCTTGCCGATTCTTTTTGAAGTTGATCTTTGCTTTTACAATATTTAATCGTCCCCTTTGCATCCTATCGCCTCGACTGAAATTTTCACTCTAACCCCTATTTCCACGGTCCCTCTATTAAAATTATCATTTCGAAATTGGTAACCCCTATCGTTGAATCTCTGATCTCTATTCTGAAATCTATTCCTTTCGAACCCTTTATTACTTTGACTGCTATTCTCATAAAAATCATTTCTACCATTATTTGGTCTACGTCCAACCTCAGAATTACTCCAGTTTCTACGATTAGCATCAAAATTAGGCATCCTATGCGCGTTTTGACCTCGTCTTTCTACATTATCACTATTCTGTGAACCCCTTTTTAATTTGTAAGAATACCTCTCTTCGAATTTAGCTAAGACTTCCAAAAGTTGTACCGTGTTCTGCGGATTGCGCACTTCCACGTAGTCCTGGATCTGTGG